AATATGTATAAACATACATAAATATTCATAAACATGTATAAAATCATATACATTTAAAATAATTAAAGGGACAATTTTTGCCTTGTTCGTTTCAGAAAAAAACAAGTTCGGAAAAATGTAAAAAAATATTGTTCATACACAATTATGCACAATTTTATGTATAATTATACATAATTTATTTTTTTTCTAGAACAAACAGTATGAAAATTATCTTTTTAATTATTTTTTTATGTTTCTACATTACTATTATTATTTTTATTACACTAAAAAATAATTTTACAAAAGAAAGAGTGGGATGCATGAACATGTATGATTATACATATTTATGAATATTTCTGTATGTTTATACATATGTATACATATTCATGCATAAAAAATTTTTTATCAGGAGCTGTATTTAAAAAAATAAGTATTAAAATATTGAATCCGATATATGTAGACTGTAGTATTTCAAAAAGACATTTTTAATTAATATTAATTTTCAAAGTGGAATTTATGTATAAAAAAAAGTTTGCCTAAAAAAATAAAAATTTGTTAAATATTCTTGTTTTTTTTTAATTTTTAAGTAATCTTGGAAATATTTTGCAACTTTTAGACAGGTCCAATCGTCGACATTCTTGGTGATGAAATGACACGTATCATATGGGATTCGATTAAGGAAAAACTCATTTTGCCCTACTTAGACATCGAATTACATACATATGATTTGAGTATCGAGAATCGTGATGCTACAGACGACAAGGTGACAGTAGAATGCGCTGAAGCAATCAAACGTTACAATGTTGGTATCAAGTGTGCCACCATCACGCCCGATGAAAAACGAGTAAAGGAATTTAAACTGAAACAGATGTGGAAAAGTCCGAACGGCACTATCAGGAACATCCTGGGTGGCACGGTATTTCGCGAGGCAATCATCTGCAAGAACATACCGCGTCTGGTGGTCTGCTGGAAGGAGCCAATCATTATTGGCAGACACGCACATGCCGATCAATACAAAGCAATAGATTTCGTGGTACCGGGTCCGGGTAAACTAGAAATCACATGGACTGGCAATTCCGGCCAGAAGATCCAGCACACTGTCCACGATTTTCAAGGTCCCGGTATCGCCCAAGCTCAATATAATACTGACGAGAGCATTTGCGCTTTTGCCCACAGCTCATTCCAGTTCGCGCTATCGCGCAACTATCCACTATACCTGTCCACGAAGAACACAATCCTCAAGAAATATGATGGTCGCTTCAAGAACATATTCCAGGAGATCTACGATAAGGAATACAAACAGCAATTCGAGGCGAAGAAGATATGGTACGAACATCGGTTGATCGATGATATGGTAGCGTACGCCATGAAATCCAACGGTGGCTTTGTATGGTCATGTAAGAACTATGATGGTGATGTACAGTCGGATTCGGTGGCACAGGGTTATGGTTCCTTGGGCATGATGACGTCGGTTCTCATATGTCCGGATGGTCGCACGATTGAAGCCGAAGCTGCCCACGGCACCGTCACCCGTCACTACCGTCAGCACCAGCAGGGCAAGGAGACATCCACCAATCCGATCGCCTCTATTTTTGCGTGGACTCGCGGCCTATTACATCGCGCTAAACTCGATAACAATCTGCGTTTGCAATCCTTTGCCGAAACGCTAGAGAAGGTTTGCATCGATACCATCGAATCTGGTTACTTCACCAAGGACCTCGCCATATGCATCAAGGGTGTGGACAACGTCACCAGAGCCGATTACCTCGAAACATTCGAATTTATGAACAAACTTGCTGATAATTTGAAGAAACAATTCAACCTATGACTCGTTGGTGACAGAGACTGTAGCCTGCGAGCCAAGTATTAAGTCATTGTAATAAAAGGAAAGAAATGTTTACGTGGTTACGGGAAAAAATTAAATATCAATGAGCATATATTATATACATGATTACATGCGTGTAAAATTGTCGCTACAGTTAAATCCTCTTCTGTTTCATGCCACATCGTACGATATTATACTCGATTTATCTTCGAGGCATTAATCAGATTATTCATGTTATAAAACGTCATAAACTGATTGCGTTATATTTTTCTTGGCTATGTAATAGATATAAAAAGAAAGAAAATGTTGATATTGGCTAATGATTGGACTAATTATTCAACTCAGCAAAATAATGGATGCTCTAAAACTCTAAATTATTCTTTATTGTAATGGCTTTTTCAATTTATTGAATTGAGCAACAGTTTTATAAGAAAAGCAACAGATTTATAAACAAAAAATTTATAAACATTGTATAGATTTTTTAATAAATTTTTAACCAAACAAATTAACATTAAGTTATATAAGCTAACCACACAAGTTACATAAGACACCTTGTGAATCATTAGCATAATTTTATCAGTGAAATTAAATTCTTGGAAAATTAAAAAGTACAAACTTTTAGTATCGAAATTTCTCTTTTTAAATCGTTACATTTTCTTAACATTACGCGATCCGTTCATATTTCTATCCGTTACATTATGCATATAAATACTATATCCGGTATTAATAATGTAGTATCAGCAATACAACATTACATTAGAATTAAAAACAAAATTACATCGCATGATTATCGCATGGCGAATAACAACTAAACAAGTAAAGTTTCTTATCAGTTATCAACTATCGTGATTATTTAATTTCGTCTCAGTGATATGAACAAATGTTATGCTAACATTAAGATAGGAATCTTTATTTTGTTGCAATTCAAACAAAAACAATAGAAAACATTATCTTCGTTAAATAATTTATGAAGTTACATATACATCTACTTTAGTCTTAATGTGTAGCAAGATGTGTCAGCAAAATGTGTAGGAAAGAAACGATAACGATAAGAGACTAACCGTTTCTTATGCAAACCGATATATCGATCTATTCAAATTTGTCAAAATAAAAGGTCCTTGAACGAACATTGATTAAGAATGACTCTGATCAAATTCCAACTTGTTAATTGATACTGTATATCATTTTGTTAACATAAACAGAATTATTAGTTTCTTATCGTTCAATATGCATTTATTTGTTTCTTCACTTGAAAATAAAAAATTAGAGATGAATTATTTATATAATTGGGATTTTTTAAATACATTTTTTAATGCAAGTGATTTCGCTGGTTAAGTTAATCGAAATTTGATAAGAAAAATGATTAAAGTCATTAAATTTCATTTTTTTTAGACTATAAAATGCACACATCATAATTATCATATATTTGTATTTTTTAAATTTCTATAGCTTTTATAGATAAATCATAATCTACTTCATCAATTTTATTATTTTATTCTGGTAAGAATGAACTTCCTATCCTTTAAGGAGTGGATGTATAAATATTTCGAATTTTCCTATTTATATCAGCAAAGGTCAAATCAGCTAAATATGTGATATAGGAAACAAATGAATATTTCAACAGTGATTTGTTATTTTTCATGATATTCCATCAATATAAAAACTCATAAAAAATCTCTAAAGGTCTCAACATTGATTATAGCCTAATGAATCATGAAAAATTTGTCAACCTCTCAAAATCTTTTATAAATTCTTCATTATGTGAGAATTTAAATTTCTATCTTACATATAATAATCGCAAGTCACGACTTAAGCCCCTGTCACATGTTGATTGAATTTTAATCACTAATTCAAAATCTTTAATGCATAATAATATATACTGGGTTTATAGGTGCGTTTTATTTGGCGCTTACAATATTCGCAAGCTTTTGTTCTTATTTAACATTTGATAAACAAAAATAAAATGATTCCATAAACATTGTCGAGTGGAATGTATCTAATGTCCAATGTCCAATGTGTTATGCCTAATCAACAGATAATAATATATATCAATAGATAATAATGAATTTAAAGCGAATTAGTTAAACGTGCGTCGATATCATCAACGAGTCACATTATCAACATTGTGACGCGTTTCGCTTTTACCTACTGAGTTTATCTCCGAAATCGAGATAAGATTTTTCCAATTTAGAAGAAGGATTATGCGGAAAGAATATACACGTATAGCAAATAATATAAACGGATAAAATAGAATATAATTTGATTCAAGATATTTATAAAATATTAATCATCAGCTGTTTGTTACTTTTGATTTCCGTCATTGATAAACTATCTTTGCCATGCGTTTTGCGCTTTAAATTATTATGTAATTTGCCCAAATTTATCTCTGCGATCGAATCTGCGTTCGCATCAATGCAAAACAAATATTTGTTCTATTATAAATTGAATTTGTTCGAATTAACGACTCCTCAATGTTGGTTTGATCGTGCATTCAGTTCTCGGGACTAAACATTCGTGGATTAACCCGATCACCTTCGTTGACTCCAAGTGAACAGAAGTTAAAAGTATGCTGACAGTTCGTCAGCAAATTCAAACAGAATATCGTAATATCAACTACGTCCGCATTAAGTTTATATCATGTTCAACATAGCCTGCTGATATAATCCGATAGAAGATTGCTAACAGAATAGAGCAAAAGATGTTATTTTACAACTATTTCTCTCTCTCAATAAAATATGGCATCTCTGAATTTTTAGTAATGTATATTCTATTGCTGAATTTTTTTCTGTAGTCGACACACAGAATGTCATCACATTCTATTTTTTCAGGAAACTACAATGAAAACAAGCTGAATTTATTCTGTAATCAGCAGAATATCATTATATTCTATTCTCCTAGGAAACTGCAATGGAAACAAGCTGACGTTATTAATTGTCATTAGCTTGTTTCCTGTCAACTTAATTGTTTCAGATTCTATGTGTATATATATATATATATATATATATATATATATAACACACACGCGCGCGCGCGCGCGCGCGCGTGTGTGTGTGTGTGTGTAATATATATATATATTTTTTAAACGCTTCAATTTTGAAGTGGAATATCTCGAAAAAATTTGTTTTCAATATATCTGGACATATATATAAATTACTAAAGTTAAATATTGAATATTATTAATATTTATTATGTCAACGATCAAATAATTAATTAACAAATGTCTTGATCAATCCTCGGACTCATCCCAAGCAGAACAAGTCACGATAATGTCAAAATGAATAGAAAATATTTAATTTTAAATGAATAGAAAATGATTAAAAAATGACTTTTAATGATCGTTTTGGAATCATTTTGATTATAATGACATTATAATGACTTGTGGTTCTGGGATGTGACAGTAATGAAAATTTACCCAGGATTGGCCCGATCGAACTCTGATAAAGTTCTTTTTTATTCTTTTCATCACTGGATATTATACATTCCTTCTCCAGCGTGTTTTTCTCAATGGCGTCGAGACTGAACACGTGCACGCGAGTCTTTCTCAGCTCTCAGCAGGTAAGAGGCACGCGTTTGCGTAACGCCCTATTGCACACACGCACACATCAAACGTTGTTATCGCGACCATTGCGCGATGCCGCGCTCTAAAAGGTCGCCTCTTCCGACACAACATTCGTCCGATGATGTCACGGATGCTCGTGTAAATCATGATGTTGAAAAAAGAAAAAAGATATTTTGGAATGAGAACTCTCGTCGTAATTTACGTAATTTTTAAAGCGAAGATAAATCCCCCCCCCTCCCTCCTCCATCTTCTGTAGAGGGTAAGAGTACTCCTGCATTGCTCGCGCAAAACATATTCTATTGTATATAATTATTTCACGCGATAATTATTTCACGCTTTATTAAATTATGCTGTAATGTCAACATATGTGTGTATTTTGCATTTTGTCCCTCTTGTCAAGAAACATTAAATAAATCATTCGTATTATATGGAACATTCGATATGAATTTTGATTAGAATTATTTTCATTAGAGTATTATATAATATTCCAATGGAAATAATTTCAATTAAATAATAATATAGAAATAATATAATAATATTATATATTAATTTATTATTATTATAATAATACATTATGATATATATATATATATAATATTATTATAATTTATTTTTATTATATTACTATTTCCCTTGTAATTACTTCTGAAATATAGAAAATAATTGAATAATTCCGATTGGAATTTATTCCGAATAATTCCATAATATGTACTTAAGTTTCCGGGACGAGAATAGGAGTGTGTATCATTTGTGTGTGGGTAGGGTGTAGGTATGTATGCGATCAGCTGCCACATCCCCAATTCCTTATTGTAACTTCTGAATCGCGTAGGATGTTAGTGCTGAAAAAAATATATAATAAATGAGCAAAAACTACCGTCGGCACTTCCGTTGACAGAAAGCATCGTCTGGACGCCTGGGACACCCTGTATACGAGACGCGCTTTGCTCCGCCCCGGAGGAAACGATATATCGGCGAGACACATGGTCGGTATGTCGATATATTCTCCGAGGATTTGCTCTCGGCTGTCGAGATCTGCAGACCGAGAATCGCCGAGACGAACCGACGTGGTTCCGTCAGGACCGAAAAGTAGACGACCCTGAGAGGCAGCGGCGAGGGAGACGTTCCTGTTCGAGTGTTTAGTGCAGCGAGTTCGCGAGGAAGGAAGAGACAATTAGCGGTAATAATAGCAAACAATAAGAGACGTGACTAAGAATGATAGATTCTAAGGTGTTACCGCTGTGAGACGGAAGAGAGGATTCTCGGGATGAAAATATGATGTACGATAAAGACGTTTCCGCGACGAGAATAGAAAGGATTAAAATGGATTTCTGAGAAATAAATAGGGAGTAGGATACATATGGAATTGTTCAAAATGGATTCTATTGAGAGTATTTAATTGTTTCCTAGGTTTCTATTATGTTTTTTTAGGAAAAACTGAATAGTTCTATAATTCATGTTCTCAGAATCAATCATGTAATTTTTTTCCCTTAACGCGGAAACGTGAAAAGTAAACATTTTTTTATGTATATAAATAAACACACAACATATACATTAAAAATTTTATTTTCACGTTTTCACCCTACTAGAGAAAAAATGAATACCTAGGACTCGATACTTTCAACGTTCGTACTTTTCTCAAATCCATTATAGGATCCATTATAGGATCTCTCTGTTATATTCTGTGTAATTAAATGTCATCGAACATCCGAATGACGAGAGTTGTTTCTTCCTCGACACTGCCTAGACAGTGCGGGACTTTCTATGAATCAATTAAGGTTGCTTTGCTTTTAAGAAACACAGACAATACAAATGTTCTATCTTTGTTATTCATTGAATGTCAAGAAGGATGGAACGACGTTTGTATTGACCACGATTGTAAGATTGGGCTACTTTTCGCAATTTGCTTATTTAATAAAAAAAAAAAAACAATTGAGCAACGGTAGTCCAATTCGTAATTGACAGAGAAGCCATTTTTTATCGCAAATTTGCTTCTTGAATAATCCAAATAGTGGAAAGTAGCCTTCTGACATTCCTGGTATCGACTGTGTCTTTTAAAAGGAAAACAGCTTGAGGCTGCTATTTTATTCGTACGTTTTTATCGTATGACGCATGAAATGAAATTTTTCAAGGTTGTTGATTGGCTATAGAGATCCAAGGACCTCTCTGTTTCTGCACGCATTTATCGTACACGATGAAAACGCACAAATAAAATGGCACCCTGAAACGAACGAACGAAACATCAGGAAGAAGGAACCGTCGAGAGGAATATGACGCGCTTCTTCCGGCTTCGGGACGAAATCGGAATTGCAGAGAATTGCAGAGGGCGCCCGGGCTGCGACATCACCATCACCATTGCTTCTGCTGATCGGCCGACGCCGACCACAAGCAACAAGGGCGCGGCGAAGGTGGGGGAGGGAAGGGGCTGCGCCTGTTCGCCTTCTCGTAGTCTTTCCACGATCCGCCATCCGCTCCGACGGCCAGTGCTGACTCCGGTGACGAAAGAGCGATATTCGTGATCGAAGCCGGCAAACCGGAGAGAACGGAAAAGAGCTCGACAAGAATTAAACA